TTTTCTTCTTGTCTTGAGTGCATCTTGGACAAAACCTGAGTGATTTGAGAAGATGGAAAAAGACGTTATGACGCAGAACATTCAGGTGCTATCTGTATTAAAATAATGATGAATGAGCATCTCTCAGTTTATCTGCCTCTAACTACTTAAAAGTGGTCTTACCATTTTCCTTTGGGTTTTGTGGCGAGATCAACACAAGCGAAGTGAAACCATTCAATTGGACACTGAAAAAAAGATGCAAAACAATGATGGGCAGGTTGTCATTATACAGAAACTTGTTAGTTTTAATTTCAACAAAAGAGAAAAATGACGACACCTACATCTGGGTTATCGCATCCAATCATCTCCCCATACGACACCTGATGGCACACGCAGTAAGTCGGCTCATTGGGATCGACTGGCATGTCCAAAACGTCTGACGGCTGCATGGGCAGGAGAGCATCGCTCAAGTCTGGGCTGGAAGACCAACAGAACACATAAAGCATGATTTGAGTTAAACATAATTCAGCTATGGTGGAAATTAGAATCATTGGCAGGCTGAATAAACAGTGGATGTGTGAATAATACAGGCTTTATAGGTTTGATAAAATGGGCAGATTCTGGAAGATGACATGTAGTAAACCCTCTGGCCTGACTGAGCCTCCAGCAACATCTTACCTATTTTTCATCTTCTTCTTCTTGGGAGAATCTTCATCAGACATTTTCCTTCCTCTTCCCCTGGATCCACGTTTCTCTCTTAGTCCCTTGGAATCACCTTCTATAAAAATATTGATATGTTAATATGTGCATACATTGGATTTGCAATGTCTTAGGATAAAAGCCTGCAGTTGTCCCACTAACTTTTCAGTGCTCTTCCCTCTGCACTTTCATAGCCGCTCACTTCCAGTTTCTCCTTTAGCTCATTCTCAAACCGTGCCAGATCGGCATCAAGTCTGCGGATATGTTTGTCCACCTACGGAAAAAAGGTTGCATGTGGATTAGAACTTTACTGTGTGTATAGTTTAATTTGCAAATTGTAATAATTTATAAAAAAGTAATAAACCTGTTGTTTGTGTTATAGTCAACATACTGACTCAATAAAACCTTGTGACCAAATAGCAGTACGTCTGTTTACCATTTCATATGTCTGCATTGCAAGCTGGACTTTGTCATCGCTGAACTCTTTGCACTTGCTGTAGGCATTTTGGATCTTCTGCAGATGTTCCACTCTCTGTTCTGAGGCCAAGTTCTTCACATTCACTATGTACTCTTCAGCAAGTTTGTCGATCTCTCCTTTCTTTTCTGCACAACAACATGAGCATTATAGTGCTGGAGAAAACCTTATGGATGGATACCTGTACAGATGTTTTCATTCACTGCAGCTAACAGTTGTTATTTTCCACATGTCAACACAGGGAATACAGGTGTTTGGGTATGCCTGTTCCAGTGTGCTGATATTGGACATTTTGTCTCAGTGGCCTGGTTTATTGGGACAGTTAAAAGACTGAACACTGTCAATATAACTGCTTACACATGTGATATTTATCTGCCACGAAGTCACCAAACAAAAATAATGAAGTTGCATATTAAGATGCCAATAATCTCAGTGATTAAATGCTCACCTTCAGTCCTATTGTCCAGGTCCCGCATCAAGGTAAAATTTCTCTGCAGCTCACATGGTAAGTTTTCAATACCTAAGGAAGAGATTTAGGACAATGTGCTTATTTTTTCCATTAAACTCAAGTGGTGTCATGCTTTTCATTTACAATCTAGGACCTCCTCTCAGTCATATACTGCTTTTAAATGTTAAACCTGCAATGATTTTTGATAATAATATCAATTCAGAGGTGACCACAACAAATCAATCCTACTGCAAGTTGTTAAGATTAAATGAGACTGAGTCTATGCTGTTGATTGACAGACACAACACATTTTAAATTTCATGTGCAAAAATGAGGATATCTCAGGTTTTAGTAGGAAGCATATTTCACAATGAATTGCAAACAAGAGATGAAACAACTCAGTAACAAAATAAAAGTGTGGTACAAAAATAAACATAACACACTGCTCTTGGATGTCTGTCCAAAGTTGTATTAGTTTAAAAGGAAACCAAGGTGAGTTGGCACTGATCGCACAGTTATAAGAATATCATCCGCTCTCCCTCGGTGTCACTGTTCGAATCCTTTCACGTTACAATGTGACGCACATCACACACCCCGCCCCGGCGCGTAAATGGTTATGTAAATACGAGAAAATGAAACGCGGTAACCAACAGGTTGCAGATACAAGGAGTCCACTAGCATAAAGCTAAACACCCATGTTGACTTAAAATGGACACCGTTTTTAAAAGTTGAATATGACTTGTTATACCGCCTTGCATACACATGTATCTGGCTACGAGCTACAACAATATGACATAACATGACATAAACATCATCCGCTGACTGGCTCACTGCAAACTTTAAATGTGCAGCACTGGGCCAGACAGTGAGTGCCTTTGCCCCCGAGAGAATTTATCACATCAAAATCTGAGTTTGTGAAACTTTATCCCAATGATCACGATGCTAATCACTTAGCTAGCGAGCTAACGTCACTGAGCCAACAGCTACTTGCTAGCGCAGTGCGCCTCTACCTGTCAGTGACCCGCCCCGAGAAAAAGTGTCCGATACAGTCAAACTAAAGAAACACGAAACAAACGCAACATGTGGACAACGCTGCTGCAGACACAGCGTGTCACAGGTTACTCACTGTCAAGATAATGTTCCAGATATATCGCCGTCGCCATTTCCAGTTAGCTACTTAGCTTCCGCGCTGCTCCGGTTAGCCCGCAGTGTGTTGGCTGCTGGAGCGCTGTCGGGTTTGTTTTGTAACCCTGGGTCGCCCGCCGGCCAATGGGTTGGAGATACTCGATTGTGTCTGCAGGCCTCCTCTTCGGGCGGGGTTAAAAACCACTGCTGTAAACAGACAGAATAAGTTTCCATTCAGCGCGCAGACACAGAAATCAAACCATTAAACATTTTCAACTCTTGATCCCACCTTGCTGCTTACAACAGCGCCCTGCTCACACGATCTACCCGCCTCAGTGAGATGAGCAGCTGTTTACTGTCTAAGACCGTCCGCCATGTGAGGGCACCGAGATGCAGGGGGACTGAAAACGAGCGCGCCCTCGCCGCCTGTACTCGCACTTTCCACGGCTCCGGTGCGGTCAGCTGATACGTCACGTAAATAAAAACAACAACAAACAAGCGCTCCCTCCTCTGAGCTGGACATCCGCGAAGATGCTCCGTGGGCGGGGCTAACGGGAACTTTAGACGTGAGAATAACGGGCCGAGTCTCGGTTCATCGGCTTTTTTATTTCGCTCCGAGGGTCGCATCGTCGTTTCTCTGTCACGTCTCACTTCCGTGTTTGCTGCGTCTCGGACGAAGGTTTCATCTTTTCTCCAAAAACGATAACAGCCGAGTAAGTAGCCGAATCTCACACCGTGCCACACGATCATCGACAGTTTTAGTGTTGAGCTAACGAGTTAGCACTGAACTAGTGGGTCAACTTGCTGCTGACGTGCTTGTCACAACAACGCCAGCTAACTTTGGTTAATGCTACGTTTGGTAGCATCGAAGAAACTCAAGCTATTAATTGAAGCTATGACTAAGTCGTTGCGCTAATATTGTCAGGTGTACAACACCACCTCACCATTTAAAATCGTTTCATAAGAAATAAGGTGACGTGTTCACAGGTGTTCTGTGGTTACTTGAAGCTAACATCAGTCACTTTAGCTAGCAGTGGCAGAAGACCATGCACATTATGAAGGAAGTTGAAGTCCTTCTATTGACAGCGATCTACGTTAGCTGCTGACGTAATGAAGAACCATGTGGTGTCAACCCTCGTGATTAGCTCCTGCGTTGACTTTGAAACAAGACTATTGTTTACTTTTTGTCACAGCTATTATGTTTTGGTCGGATAATATGTCCCAACAGCGTGAAGAGTCACGAGGTTTGTGTGACTCAGCCTCGCCCTGTCACCAGACAACAGATTGCTCCAATAATATTACAGATCCTGTACTTTATGTATTTGTTTTATCTCTAGGTGTTACTTTCAAGATGGCTATGGTTAAGAGTGGCTGGCTCCATCGACAAAGTGAGTGTTGGTACATGCATTGTGAAAAGGTTCGGTTTAGCTTTCAGTGTAAGTAAATTCAATTTGAATGTGACAATAATTAAGGTACCATACTTCGCCGGTGGAAAAGAAACTGGTTTGACTTGTGGGCTGATGGACGACTCGTCTTCTACAATGATCAACAACGCCGTGACATGGAGGATGATATTCACATGAGGGTCGACTGCATTAACATCCGCAGCTCTGCAGCATGTCAAGGTACTTGTCACGGGTCGCATGGTGATGTTAGTGGCGCCATATTAACAGTATCAACCAACTTCTGCTCGTGCATTTAACCCTGCCTACTTCTGTTTGTCCTCCTCAGAGCTGAACCCACCGGAGGGGAAGATGCGTGATGCTTTGCTTCAAATAGTGTGCAGAGATGGTCGTGTCATCAGCCTATGTGCAGACAGTGCAGATGATGCTCTGTAAGGAAACACTTGCATGCTGAGTCATACTATCAGTTTGAGGAATTCATTTGGCTCCTCTGTTTTGTTTCTCTGTTGTGGAAGTTGAAAGTTTTAGTTTAAGGAATTCTGTGTTTATGTTTTCAGCACATACATTAATTTAATTACAATACGACATGGTTTTCACTTCTGTTGCAGGGCATGGACCATGGCACTTCAGGATGCCAGAATTAATGCAGTGAGTTTCTGCTACTTCTCAAATTACTGGGGTTTTGTTTTACCAGAAAAAGAATATGGGGAAATTCTTTAATTTAAGCTCTGACATAAACTTAAAGAAAATATCATATTATTAAATTTCCATGATTAAGGCTCAGAATGCATGATTGCTGGATAATTTGTTTTTCTTATTTCTTATTTGTGTCAGACAACTCTCATATTCTTTTTTTCATAGTATAACCTCAATACAGCATAAGGAACTTTTTTTTTACTTTTATATTTTAAGGTGGTCGCTGCTCCTCAGATCGGCTTTGCACAGGAAGCAATGGCATCTGCTCCACCCCCCTACTCAGAATATGCACCCCCACCTCAGGTAATAAGCATAAACATGACAGAAGTCAACTATTTGTTTTTTTGATTCGATTGGAACTAACGGTATGGAACTAAAGCACAAATATCGGTATTTACCAGTATTTGCTTTTTTTATCCACCTCTTTAAAAGGGTTTATAATCAAAAGTAAGATATATTTTTGTTAATGTGCTTAGTATGATGTGTGTTTTTGTATTCATATTTTTACACTGGATATCGCATTTAATTGCTGTATATACTAGACTAAACTAAACTGTTGAGCTTAGTTTTACCTGAACCTTCTTAAGGGTAAACCAAGCTATGAGTTAAAATTGGAAAGTTAAAAAAAAAAGACTACATAACAACATGCAATGCTGTGGTGTACTGCCATCTACTGGTAAAGTAATTAAGCAATATTAAAATACACTGAAGTAGGTTTGTTGGTACTCCCCCCTCCCCCATAGAGAATGAACTGAGTTCTGAAAGTCTTCTCTCTTTGTCACCAGCCTTATGCTCCAGGCCCATATGGAGACTATGCTGCACCTCCTCCACATGCAACCCAGATTGTCTACTCTGCTGATGGGCAGCCCTACGCTGTTGCTTATCCTTATCAGTACCAAGGTAAATATTTGTTAGCACATGTATAGAAGTAAACCATTGCACTGAATGAAAGGTAGCACGTGTCTGCTGTTGTTTGCTGCTTTGTTCATTTTATCCAACGCAAATCATAGAGCCTGATGAAATGAAACTTAAACCTTCTGATTAGAAGTTGTTCATTTAAACAACTTTAAATCTCATCATCACAAACATGAATGGGACATCATTTTGCTGTTTTCCTTCCAGGTGGGTTTGCTGCTCCTGGAGGGAACCATGTCATTATTCGGGAGCACCAGCGTGACGACGGAGGAGATGTAGCTCTGGGCATGCTCGCTGGAGCAGCCACTGGTTTGGCACTCGGCTCTCTCTTCTCCGTCTTTTAATATCTTGACTAACTTATAACTAGTAGCACATTGTTCCCCCCGTCTGCACAGCGTTAGGCTTCTTCTACGTGCCCTTACATGAGTTGGAGTGAAATGTGTCTGTTTGGCTACTTCCATCGATGAAGCATGATTGTGATGGGCAGGCAAACTACTCTCTATATGTCCTATAAACACAGTAAATACTGTTAGCACTTTCTCATACGCCCTGTGTGGCAGTGTCCCTCTCCCTCTGTGTTATCTCAATATGAATGTTTTTAACCAAAAATACAAGTTATTCACTTTAAGAATTATTTGAATGGCAGGAAAGATGCTTCTCTTCTTATGTACACTTTATCTCCTCTCAGCTGACGTCTCAGTCAGGTTTAGTTTCTGTTTCCTGGAGCACATTTGTCCTTTCTGTTTGAGGAAATATAACGGTCATGAATTTTTACATACATGTTTTTTGTTTGTGTTCACAGTACCTTATTTGATTTAGTTTTAGTCTTGTTGTACGTGTGCAGTGTTTCCTCTGCTCAACAGCTTATTTGTGGTGGCAGCGATGAGAGTTGTGTTAAGAGGAATGCGCACACACAAAGCAATAATCACTTTCAATGTAGCACGTTGGACTCTGGTTGAGATGGAAGTTTGTCTTCACCACAAATAAGTCTGTCTTAGAAAACACTGGCTTTTACACGATGTGCTTTAAAGTGAAAAGGGACATCACTCCTGTTGACTCTTATGTATATTTGCTTGTGTTATTTATGGTCCCTAATTTTCATTGGCAGCTGTCGAGTCACACTTTTCATGTCTCGTGAAGTGGTATTTTCTTTTCATTTCAATTTACACAATATACGTATCAGGTTGATCAGTCCCTTGAGATTTAGCCACATTTCAGTTGCTCATTATTTTCCAACTTAAATGGCTTGAATATTTTCATCTGTATTATTCATCATGATGAGTTTATTTATTCAAGAATTTATTTATTCAATTTAAACAGCAACTTCTGCCAAATGTAAAACACTTTGATTTGCTTTTCAAGAAGCTGAATATCTTCATGGCATCTTCTAATGGCACTAACTGAAGAGATGAACGAGACAAATGATTTCAGTTTTACAAATGATTGTATTAGCAGCGTAACACTGATGTCATTTTTCTACAGGTCATAAATTGATGTAAAATAAATTGTATTTCTCTTAACAAATGTACTAATTAAAAAATGTACCCTGCATTTAAAATAAAATGACACTTGTTTTGTGTTTTTTTTAAATGTGAGACACGCATCAAGAACAAAAGTGCAAATGAGCATGTTACGCTTTATTCATGTAACCAATAAGTGACCTCAACAAACACCAGAAGAAACTCTTAAGACACATGGTCCCATTGAGAACAGGCTGAGCACACAGACGGGATGTATAAATAATTCCGAACACAGCTAGTGCAGAAAATATGTGCATTGACACTCACTCGATGTCCATGCACACAGATCAAAATTCAGAAATGCTTTTAAAAGCATTTCAGTAAAATATATTCTGAGTCCTGTAAAATTCATCAACTGCAGAGATTCAGAAAACACCCTTTATTTTTGCAAAGAATATACAAATTCATTGATGCTGCTTTTCAAATAACCCACATGATTTAAAGAGAGCAAACTCTCTAAATGTTATAGTAGTTGTTCCCATTCACAAAAAAACAACCCTGAAACCAATTCTGTTGAGAACAATACGAGTACAATCCTCCTTAGACAATGGTGAGAGGTACGTAGTGTTGAAAAGGTGCATTTACCCACAGTCACTGTTGCACAATCATCGACTCCATATAAATATATATATATGTATGTATATATATATATATATATATACACACACATATATATACATATATATATATATTTAAAGACAGAAGGTTTTCTTTAAAAAAATAAAGAGATTATCTTTTAAGTTTTAGAATTGCAAAAATAAAATCAACAAGTAAAAGAAACACAAAACCTTAGATGTGAAGATGTAAACGATTGTTATGTTAGTAATAAAAAGTGCTGAAACTGTTGATTTATTGATTATATTTCATTAATTAATCATCTTATTTGTCACAAACAACAAACTTTTGCTGTTGGAGCATTTTTTTTTCATATCTTATGGTAACATACTTTGTTCTGACAACCAGGGTCATAAACTAAGTTTAGGAAAACCTGCTATAGACCAGACAGATGGATGAAACAATCAAAACCTTAACTGAGAGTGACAACCGTTGTGAACTGTCGTCTGTTTCACGAGCAGAGTGTGGATAGTGCTACCCTTCTTGACCAAAATCTTGCGTAAACTTCTTCAGCTTATCCAGGTCCTGCTCATTCACTGTCGGCTTGATGTTAGTGAGTGACCTCAGCATGTCGGCCTGTACGGAGAGAACATCAGAGGTTGATATAAATAAAATAAATAAATAAATTAAGAACTCTCATGCACAGATGATGTTTTATAAAAATTTGAGAACTTTACATGCACACACTTTGCTTCTTGAATCTTTTTCTTACCATGCACACGACCGACTCCAGGAGTTTTTCTCCAGGGACGTCCATCCACGTCATCTCTATGGCGTTTGGATCTCCCGGCGAGCAAGGAGTCAGTAGGTCTTCCGACACAACACCTGGGTTGTTCCAAGATGTACCCCGGACCTTAATGAGTGTGAGGACAGATAGGGAAGAAGAAAACTTATAATCAGTTCACAGATTATTTTTACAAGTTAAGGGTGAGAAGGAGAAAATGTTTTTTTTAATTAATTTAATGAATCTTTTTGCATCCTTCCCATTTAATTTATCTGGGTGTTTAGGCATTTCAAAATGTAAAGGTCAACATTCAATGTGAAGTAATAAAATGTGACCAGGCCTTTTCTGTTATTGGAATAATGGTTTAAAAGACATTCCAGTGTCCTTTTTCAGGTCAGAATACATCTTCAGCTGGTATCCTTTTACCTACCAAAAGTTCTGTCTTTTAAATCTTATATCTCATCTTAATTATTTATTTTCTTGTGTTTTATTTAATATGTTTGGCCTTTATTTGTGGAGAGGATAGTGAGCAAGCTGTTAAAGGTGGAAGACAGAGAGTGGGGGAAGACATGCAGCACAGGACCGTGGGTCGGATTCGAACCCATGCTTCTATGGGTGGAGCATATCCTCAATGAGCTTCAACTTGCCTTTATTTGTTTCATATCGTTTGCCTTCAAGTCTTAATTTTTAAAGCACTTTGAGGCTAGAATCTTTATTTGTATAGAAATAGGTTTGCAGCAATAATCACAGGGCAATCTCCACACACCAACAAAACAGTGCTTAAACAGTCAGTGCAGACATCCCATCTCAGCCTGTGGTCGAGCACAACGCCAAGGTACTTTTGACTGTTTTTTAAAGGGGTTATATAAATAAACTTTATTATTATTATTACAATGTTGGAAATAATAATTTTCGTGTCCATCTGATACATTTAATATGATCAATCTTTTCACAGTTTTTTTCCCCACTACCAGCTCTACATGTTCCAAGACGTTCACCCCCTTGCTGCTAACTGTGTCTGTCTGCTGATTGGTGCTTACCAGGTAATAATGAAACCGCTTTAGGGCTAGTGAGACTGAACCAAAACAAACAAGTTGCTATAATGGTTCTGACCATCATTTACATGATTTCTTAATTTGACTTAACAACCTCCAGAACGTCATGTAGCTGATGTAACTGTGTAATAACAGGTTAGTAGATCACTAATCTTTAATCATCAGTGGCAGCGCCCACTCTCATTCTTTTGTTGATTGTAAAATGATTGATGAGAAAAACACAGTAAGACAATCTGTGTTATTTTGGAACAACATATTCCAGCTGGATTCCCTGAAGGTTTGAAACAGGACAGTTATGAAAACAACCAGAGACAAACCGTTGCTGTGCCTTTACCTTTTTGAAGTGAGTGGCAGACTGAACCTTCCTGACAGGTTGCATGAGGGCGTCCCTGACGATCACACTGATGTCAGCCCCAGAGTAGCCCTCTGTCTTCTGGCCCAGACTGATGAAGTCTGTCTCTGTCAGGTCGTTGGGGGTGGATCCCAGATGCAGTTTGAACATGAACGAGCGAGCGTGCTCCTCAGGCAGAGGGATGTAGATTCGCTTTTCAAACCTGTCAGAAGATTCAATCAGACATTATGAAGAGTTTACTCTCTTAAATTCTAATTGTTCTTCCTTAAAACCTGAATTGAATCAAACTAACCTTCTCCTAATAGCAGAGTCCAATGTCCATGGTATATTTGTGGCTCCCAGAACCAGGATTCCTTCATTATCGATTCCAACGCCTGAGCAGAGAACAACATTTGATGCATTTCTAATCTAAATACTGTTTTTCAGATGTGAGCTCAGGTTTTCATTTCTCTCCTCTCGCTCACCCTGCATCTGAACAAGGAACTCTGTCTTGATTCTGCGCGCTGCCTCGCTCTCGTTCTCGCTCCTGGAGCCACAGAGGGAGTCGATCTCATCAATGAAAATAATGGATGGTTTGTGCTCTCGAGCCAAAGAGAACAGGTTCTTCACCAACCTGAAGAGAGACAAGAGGGGCAGAAGCAACAGATGCTCACCTTCTCATATCCACATTTTGTTATCATCATGTTAAGAGCGCAGTGCTTACTTTTCACTTTCCCCCAACCACTTGGACACGAGGTCGGAGGAGGAGATGGAGAAGAAGGTGGAGTTGTTGGCCTCGGTGGCCACCGCCTTGGCCAGGTAGGATTTTCCTGTTCCTGGAGGGCCAAAGAGAAGGATCCCCCGCCAAGGAGTTCGCTTTCCTACACATAAAGTTCCTGTGTCATTGGATACGATTCACATCAACACAGTTAAATGCGAGGATTAAAGATGGAGGTTGACAAACCTGTGAACAGATGAGGGAATTTGATGGGCAGAATGACGGCTTCCTTCAATGCTTCTTTGGCTCCTTCAAGTCCAGCTACATCATCCCACTTAATGTTTGGCTTTTCCATGATGATGGCACCTTTGAGAGAGGAGTTTGAGAAACAGTTTAGTAATTGTGAAATGGCATTTCACACACTCAAAGATATCCGTTCTCATAGAAATCAATGAAGATGTTCAAAAACGTCTTATCTCAAAATGTTACAGGAAGTGAAAAATCCTGGCTCAGCCCCCTGACCCAGGTCTGTACCAAAAATGAATCGATTCTTCCTTGACCCATACCACATCCTCCTCCACAAACTTTCAAGGTAATCTGCCCATTATTTTTTGCGTAATCTAACCAACTAACAAATAAAGAGGAAAACATAACCTAGTTCTTTCACCTGAGAGTTGATTTTGAAACTTCTTTTTCTCTTGGTTGTCCCCGTCATCACTTTCACTCCTGAAATTAAATGAAAAGAGACAACGTCATGATTTATTGTCCTTTTTTTAACACTAAACTAAACTTTTTTAGAAGTCCCACTGTTTCCTACAATATTTCTATGTGTTAATTGTTTAAAAGGTTCAAGGAAAATACTGTTAAGTAATTTACAACTGATAATAGGGGAAATTGAGGCAGTGTTTAATTTCAACAATAACAAAAATAAACCTTGTGTTCCAATCAAAGGTGTTTAGTGCCGTGGGGGAATGTTTCTATGAATGGGATTCCACTTTATTTGTTCTTGTGCACAGGAAGTTTGAAAAAGAGAAAGTCTGCACACATAAAGCTCCAATTAAAGGATTTATTTGCCTTGACATTTGGTGACATCGATCTAGCAGCCATCAAAAGATTTTATTTTACTGGATGTGCAGAGAAGAAGATGAAGACCACGAGCAGGTAAACATGGATGTTAAAAATGTTTCAACATTTAAAAAAATATATCTTTGCTAATGTATAATGAGGAAGATAAAGCATTCAACACATTTGTTGGAATCATGCAATGTGTAAAGGCGTCTAGCACTGAACATAAACAAAACTTTGTTTACCAGAAAGCTCCACAGCGCTCCTCTAATAAACCTGACTTAAAAATGCCACAGGACTTTATCCCTATTCCTCTGATTGTTAGTGACAAATTAAATGGATTGTTATGTGCATTCTGCATGAACATGGTCGTATTAAAGAGTCTCACCCTTTGTCATCAGAGTGGTTCTCTTTGACAGGTTTAGCCGGAGGACTCTTCTCCATTTTCTTCAGGTGTTCCTTCAGCTGCTCGGCTCTGCCCAGGTAGTCTTTACACTTATCCCTGATGCTCTCCTTCGCTCGTTCACTCTGAGCCTCATCTGCAACGACAACATATTACGCAGCCTGTCATTAACTCTATTTATAGAATTTCCCTTTTTGCTACAGCCTCTATTTAAATTAAATAATTACTAATTTCTTACACTGCACTGTTACTTTCATCTTTCATTTCTTATTTTAATTTTATTCTCTACGCTACTCGTTTTAATTTCTTTTTAAATTATTCATTTTTGTATTTTGTACAATTTGTCCCGATGCCTTTTATATTTTCTGTGAAGCACACAACTGCGTTGTAGTTGAAATGTGCTATGCAAATAAACATGCTTTGCCTGAATGGTCACAGCATAATGTGAAATGTGACAACAGCATTTGCACAGCAAAGCGTTTTTTCTAAAAATAAATTTGGAAAGGAGGCGACGATGCACAGGAGAGGTGAGCCACTGTAACACGACATCTTCCCTTTAATCAACAGAATACTGAGTCACCACGGACCAGTCCAACGTGTGTCTTTTACAAGTTATTAAGTGGACAACTGTGATCAATAGCTCAGTACTGACACCACACTGGTAGAATTAAAGGGAGCAGATTCATCAACATACAGGGTGTATTCTGCTGCCTCCAGGTGGCTGCAGGGATTTAATGAAGTGAAGGAGAAGATTTATAAATCAGCTGTAAAGACACTGTATGAATGACTCATTGCATAATTAATAGATAACTGCAGACTGATTTAACAATATTACTGCTTTAAACACTTGAAACATTAATTGTCTATTATGATTTTACCCCCTCCATTGGCAGTGGAGTAACTCATAAATGAGTCTATTTATATTTTAAGCATTATTCCATCATGGATGCATATTTTCCCCATCTCTTTAGCTTGCTGTTGATAAAAATACCAATGTGGCAGCAAATTAACATTGTGTCTGCAACAGACTTGTGTCTGTACCTCACACTAGTTTATGCATCTCACTTCACATGTGTACCATCAATCTGCACTTGGCATAAAATAAAATAAAATAAATAAATATCAGGGTCAGGAAAATAAATCACTCAAACACTGAAGAAATCAAACAGCGACAGGAAGCTTAATCAGTTTCCTTACACTTGACAACATGGAGGAAGTACTGGATTGCATGCTGGTAACATCTGAGGGCTTCCTCATAGTTCTTGGCTTTGTCCTCCTGTGCAGCTTTGTTGGCCAGATCGATAGCTTTCTGTCAAAAACACGAGAGAGAAGAATTCATCAGAGGTTTCTCACGAGGCACTCTTTAAAGGTAAGTCAGCAGTAAATCCATTACTGGCTAATGGATGACTTACACATGCAGTATTGTTAGAAATGAATGTTAGTGATAATCCTGCATTCTGTCTGGTTACATTAAGTCATTATATAATGCTCATAAAACCACCAGTTACAACTTTAAATGGATTTATACAAGAGAGTTCAACTCAACGTGCTGGATGATAAAGTAGCAGAACAAGGAAACAACTCACGAACATCAAACTCTTCACAACTTCAGTAAAGTTCTTATGTGGATGTACTTTATGATGGATTTTTTTTGTCAATCTGGCAACCCACATACCATCAGTAAGTGTAGTAAATGTTGAAATGACTTTAATGAAACCATGAGTTATTAGTAGAACACCAGCAGTCAGGACTTCAGTTCATCTTCAGGCTGAAGACGTTTCTATCTTCGAAGGTTGAGTCGCAGTGAAAAGTGTGACCATGTCAGAAACCAGAGTTTCGCACAGTCTGACGCAGTAAACTCTGCCACTCACCTGTAAGTTGCCTGCTGCCATTAGTTCCGGTGAAGTGTTTCCTGTCCTCTAAAATAAACTGTCAACGGACCCTCTCTCGTTTCTTCCTGTTTGCCGAAGTTTATTCCTTCATTTTGTAACAAGTTCAGACTGAAACCATCGTTTAAGGTTTTGTTTCTCTTCCGCATTAGAAAAAAAAAAGTCCACTGTCACTTCCGCAGTGGTCACGTGACGTGACAGTGTTGTTGTCTGGTTGAACATCGGCTGTATTTTTTATTTTACACACATTTCATTGTGTTTCATACAAACAGAAC